CTAGTGATTGCATTGTTGGGAGCTGATTCATCACTTTCTTCATCAACGCTGCTCGAATCACTTTGATCTTCCTTTTCAAATATGTCATCTGCCCATTCTAATGGTGTTTGTTGAGTTTCTGGTGTTGCTGCACCCCAATCCCAACTGGCCTCTTCATCACAAACCACATCTTTACTGTTAAGAACCTTCTTCGAGTCTGGATCATATAGCCTCCATCCTTTAGATTCATCACTAACCCCTAACAAAATACACTTTCTGCTTTTGTCATCTAACTTGCTCCTCTTTTGGTCTGGTATGTGTACATGTGCTACAATCCAAACACTCGAAAATGATCTACCCATGGTTTCTTTCCACTCCAGGCCTCTTCTGGAGTTTTGTTTTCAACCGCTGCTGTAGGACTTCGATTCTGAACGTGCACACACCATTTTACAGCCTCGGGCCAAAAGGTTTTAGGAACACATTTTTCATTTAGTATTGAACGGACAACATTCATAATTGTTCTATTTTTTCTTTTGGCCACCCCATTTTGTTGGGGGGTATAGGCTGTTGTTAGTTGTCTCCTAATACCTTGTTTCTTACAGAATTCTGTAAATTCATTTGAATTGAATTCACCACCCTTATCGGTTCTTAAGCAGATTATACCCATACCCACTTCTTTTTCAAGAAAAGCCTTATAATTCTTGAAAATTGCAAGTGCTTCTGATTTCTCAGTTAAGAAATAAACCCATGTTTTGCGTGAAAAATCATCAATGAAACTTAAAATGTACATCTTGTTGCTGTTTGAGGCTGGATCAATAGGACCGCATATGTATGAGTACACTAGCTCAAGCTGTTTTGACGCCCTCCATGAACTCTTCTTAGGGACAGGTAGATTATGTTGTTTCCCAGTCAAACAAGTAGTACATAATTTCTTTGGGGATTTAATCGATGGTAAACCATATACCATTTTCTTGTAGAAGAGTGTTCTTAAACTTTTGTAATTCAAGTGGCCGAATCGACAATGCCATAGTTGTGCTTCCTTTTCTGACACACCTTCAGCTTGAAAACACACGTGGTTTTGTGGTGCTGTGACTGATAAGTAGAACATTCTATTTCTACTCATGTTGCTTAGCATAATTACTTCCCTTGTAGGATGAAAAACCTTGCAAGTTCCATGTTGAATTAGGATGACTAACCCTTTTTCTTGTAGTTGTCCTATACTCAGCAGATTGTTTTTCAACTCTGGGATGTAATAAACATCAGAAAAACGTGTGTTATGCCACCAATTTGCACCCTTACATTTCCTTTAGCTACCACATACATCTTTATATAGTTCCCACGTCTTACTGTCTGGCTAAATTCTTCATCTAGAGTTGAGAACCATTTCTTGTTACCAGTCATATGATTACTACAGCTCGAATCCCGAAATCATAACTCTTCCTGTTGTGCTTGATGTAGTTCGGTGCAAGTCATCAACAGTAGGTCTTCTTGTGCATCTTCCCCCGACTCGACATAGTTCGCCTTCTTTTCCCACTCARGACACTCATACTGAAAGTGTCCCAACTTATGGCATTTGTAACACTCAATCATTGCTTTGTTGAATGATTGTCTTCCTCGTCCTCTTCCATGTCCCCCTCTTATTGTACCTCGTCCCCTTCCTCGTCCAGATCTGTCCTCCTGGGCTACTTTCAAAACATGTTCCTCTTCAAGACTACCTTGCATTCTTTGCTCATGAACAAGGAGACTGCCATGCAACTCATCAATACTCAAGATACTCAGATCATTTGACTCTTCAATTGAACACACAATATAATTAAATTTTGTCGTCAAAGATCGGAGTATCTTACTAACAATTGTGCTTTGCTCCATTGTCTCCCCATTCGACTTCATCTTGTTCACCACAGCCAAAGTTCACCCCAAAAAATTGTCTACCCGTTCATCTTCTTTCATGGACAGCAACTCAAACTCCCTTCTCAATGCTTGTAGTTGTGCCCTTCTTACTTTGATAGACCCCTGATACTTTTGCTTCATTGATTCCCAAATAGCCTTTGATGTTCCTTTGTCAAGAATTGTCTCCAGAATTTCTCTGCTAATTGCTTGAAACAGAAAATTCTTCACCTTCATATCTTTGATCCTAACCTCCTCCACATTCTTTCTATGTGCTTCACTTCCTTGGGTTGTTCCAACCGGAGAGGTAGGAATCCCTTCCTCAATCAGACTCCACAGCCTCTCACTTTTCAAAAAGTTCTCCATCGTCATGGCCCAATAGTCATAGTGACCATCGAATTTGGGAATAGCAGGTTGGACGAACTTTTTTTTCACCAGAGTCGTCATGCTGTTCTCTCTATGATAAACTCACCCTCGTGTTTATCTGATACTCACACTCTCTCAGAACCTTCAGCTCTGATACCAAATGTTGGAAGTCAGAGAACAAAGAAAAGTGCTGAAGGAATGCTTGTAGATTACTAAAAACAGAGGGCTATAAATAGCCACATACATAACAAAAAAAACAAAACAAACTCTATTTTCCCTAAAGAATAGGACTTATTGACTAATAGCAACAACCAAAAAGACTAATTCAAAACTAGTAAAGATAACAGCTAATTTATTCTAACAACAAAAGATTGTAGTCGGCCCTTCTTGTGTGTGTTCTAATTCATTTAAGATGGCCCTCAACCACAAAGTTTGGCATCCAACAATAGAGAGAGACATATATTCTGCCTCAGAAGAAGATAGGGCTACTACACTCTGTTTCTTAGATTGCCAAGACACTTCAGCAGATCCTAAATCAAATTCGCATCTAAGAGTTTGTAGTCTCACAATCTTGACTTTGTCTTCCCCTCGATAGGTCTTGTATAACATGTTCCATGCTTCTTGCCATGAATTTGAGGAGGATATTCTTTCAAAAATGATTTCATCTACTGCTTGGTAGATGATGTAGAGAGTCTTTTTCTCTTTTTCCTTCAAATCCTTGATTTCATTTTCCTGTTCTTGAGTAAAATTATTGGTTTATATGATTTCTTCGATTCCTTGATCGACAACGTCCCATAGATCCTGAGATTCAAACAAGACCTTCATCTGTATATGCCAAGGATGGTAATTCTTCCCATTTAGTTTGGGAAGTTGTGGATGCAGTATGCTATTCGAACTTGAAGCCATTTGTGTGATGTGGCTCTGATACCACAATGTTGGAATAATTTCAATATATCAATTTATTATTGTTGAATTTACATCAAACATCAATAGTACATATGACCAAACATTAAATAGTGTACAAAGGGATGTGTCCCTTCGATCAACAGACACAACCAAACAGGAATATGACATTTAATTAACTATCATGGCTAACAGAAACTTAATAGCCATTAAGAGGTTAACGGTCAACTACCAACCATACTATCAACCATGCATAGCTTAAATTCAACACTCATCATATATGTGAATTTTCTGGACATTTGATTAAGACCTAGTGACCACCAAGATACTTAAATTTGAAGTCACCAAAAGTTCCAAATTACACAGTTGTACCAGATTAAAGAGGACATGCTCCGATGTTACCTTGGCGACATAATAGGTCTCAAGATAGCTTACAACATTCAAGTTATCTTTAAAGCTTCTTGAGATGAGAGGAAGATTGATTCAGAATTGGATTAAACTCATCAGGGAAGTCTTTGACCTTACGTGCAACACCCTTCGCCACATCAACGTAGGTTCTTTGCTTCTTACTCCGGTTGTCTACTTCCCTCGGAGTAACAGGATGGTTAGGCCCTATTGCTGATTTATGTTTTTCCTTCCTTCTCCACTCCTCATGCGACCATTTTTTTGAATTTCTCCAATCTCACAAAGACTTTGAAGTCATTGTTCCAGATTTTGTTCAACTTCCTCTCAAAATATTTTTTGTTTTGAACTCGAATGAACTGAACGAAACCAAATCTCTTGCAATCCTTGTTATGTTTCCTCGTCATATACACGTCTACCACCACGCCATGCTTACTGAACATGTATCATAGCTCCTTCTCATTCCATTCCTTCGAAAAGTTCGTGAAAAGGAATATAGAAGCCAATCTCCCCAAGTTACCATTCCTTTCCTTCCACCTCTCTTTCTCTCTTGTCATCTCTCTTAATCCGGTAAGCTAAGGGGCCGTTTACCAAACACTTTCCTAGTACGTGTTTACCGTTAAAATTTAACACTATTATTTACTTATCGAGTAAGATTTTAGTCCACCAAAACGACATCCTATGCAACAATTTACCCGATAAACTCTTACTGTGATAAGAGTCGTCGCCCTCACTTAACGGTAAAAGTTTTCTTTAGATACACACATTTAACAATAAATACATGTGCATTTCACTTACCAGATAATAGATTTCATTAAGGAATGGGCTACATACATTCTTTTATATATGTATATATATTGTTAAATGGACTTCTACCTACTAATTTCTACTGATACAAATCAACAACGAGACTTATACTTTTTTAAAAATTCATTATCTAATATGATCTAATTTAAATATAAAAAAAGATGAATATTGTATTACCCTGCTAATCAATTATTACATAGATGGACAAAAAAATTGTTTATTACACAAATAGAACAGAACAGGACTGAACAGAACAGAACAAGATAGGACAGTATAGGACAAGACTAGAGGGTAGGACTGGACAGGACAGGACTGGACTGGACTGGTGGAACAAGAAAACACCACTTTTGTACCATGCTGTCCCACCTTGTCCCAGTTCTTGTCCCTGTCCCATGTCGCGCAAAACGTGAGACAGTGAGTTCTTGTTCTGTCCCATGCTGCGCCAAACATGGGACAGTGGGTTTTGTCCCGTCCTGTCCTGTCCCGTCCCATGTACCAAACGCAGCCTAAAGGAAATTCGTTTAATTTTGATATATTTTTCCATTTACTAAAAGATTGATGTATGTATTTGATTCTTATATAAAAACTTCATTTTTGCAGTTCTTGACGCTTACTTATGTTATATTCAAATAACTACAACTGTTTGGTTGTCATAGGGTGAGCGAATAAGCTTCGACAATCAGATAAAAAATCATCGGATCACAATTTTACGGCTCATTTTCTTAGTCGGGAGGGGAAGTCTTGTTGCGACTAAGAAATACCTACACAAGTGCATGTATACCGTCGGAATGGGGAACAACGACTATATCAACAACTACTTTGCTCCTGAATACTATAACACAAGCAGTTTATATTCGCCCGAAGAATTTGCTCTTCTCCTTGTTGAACAGTATTCACAACAACTTCAGGTTCGTCGTTCAATTTATAAGCAAGAACATTGATGATATTTGTGCGAATATTATAAGGAAACAACCAATTACAACACCTCAATTGAGCTAGTGTACGTTGCTATGAAAATGCAACATATCGTTTTATTCCAAGGGACACCCTATTCATTGCAATATATGTTGATCGAAAATTTGAAGAAGTAGCTTAGACGATAGAAAAAGAAATTACTCGTTTGATCTCGTGATTGTTCCGTTAACAATACACACAAAATGTAGAAGTTTTGAATATAAAAAGTACACTTGAGATGATCAATAAATTTTCATGGTACTATAATAAAACTGGGTTTATAAGACACCAATATTTTCTAAGCATCGTAAATCTAATAGAACACTTTATAGGACTTAATTTATAGGATCAAAAATTAAAGCATCTTATCAAAGACGTTGTAATAAATTTATAGAACGTTTTTAAGACACTTTTAATACAAAGCATCATATTAACAATTTTATAGGACGCTTTTGACAAAGTGTCTTATAAGCTCATCTTTTATAAGACACTTGTTTTTACAGGACACTTTTTCAAATAGTGTTTTATAAAATTGCTAATGTGAAGCTTTGTATTAAAAGTGTTTTAAAAAACTTGTTAAGACGTCCAAAAGTGTCCTATACTTGAAATATATTGGGTTGTTTTGGTTCGTTTACTTCTTTTAAGATATGTCCATTTTACCTTAAATGAAAAAGGAAAACCACTTGACGAGTTTAATCCGTAGGCATTATACGCATATGGAGCCAGGAAGTTCGGAATTTTTGCAGCTGGTTATTCGGGTTGTACTCCTGGGATGATGGCCATTTATGGCATGAACTCGTGTGTTGACTCGGTTAACAGTGCTATCATATTATTCAATACACATCTTAATACCATTCTAAATGAACTAAACACTAAATACCCTGATGCAAAGTTCATTTACATCGATGCGCCCTTACAATATCCTACTGGTACGTATTACTTGATTTTCAAACTGAAACTTTATCTTTTTGTGTGATTACTTAACACCCTCTTAACGTGCATTGTGTAAATATATATATGCTTACAGATTTGAATGTTACTGATAAGCCATGTTGTGAAGTTGAAAGCATCGATGGCAAAGGGAATTGTAGTCCGGATCATATCCCATGTAGCAATAGGCAAAACTACGTATTTTGGGATTCATTTCATCCGACAGAAAGGGTGAGCGTTATAGATGGAACACAAGCGTATACGACATTGTCTCCATTGTATGCGTCCGAAGCTATTTCCTCGTTAGTAGACAACGAAGAAGGCCACTTCAGTAATGCTTAATGGTTGGGACAACCGAAGAGGAAGAATAATACAAGTTTCCATTTTTGATTTACAGCTCAGTTTGGTGAAACTACCATATCTTTCTTTTATTGTTTTGTGTAATAATAAGTCTGGTGTAATAAGAATTGTCGATGAGGAAGAATAAGTGGTAGAAAGTACGTGTATACGTTTTGGTTTCAAGAATTAGGTTTATATAAGTATATGTATGCTTTAAAGTCAATCATAGAGTATAGTTGTAAAATTTATGTTTTATTAGTGATGAAAGTAATAAAAGGCATTGCCCTAATTTATTATGTTATATGTTTTAATTGTTATCATTATAATAAAATTGGGTTTATAAGTCGTCCCAAATCTCTAATCGTCTCAATAGACCAGTTTATATGACTTAATTTATGGGATCAAAATATAAAACGTCTTATCTAAGGGCGTTGTAATAAGTTTATATGACGTTTTTGGACGTCTTAACAAGTTTTTTTTGAATATTTTTAATACAAAGTGTCGCATTAGCAACTTTATAGACATTTTTTAGAAAGTGTCTTATAAACTCAATTTTTTTTTATTATATGACAGTTTTTATAAAGTTGTTAATTAGACGCTTTAATTAAAAGTGTCCTAAAAAACTTATTACGATGTCAAAAAACGTCATATAAACTTATTACAACGCTTTTAGATAAAACATTTTATTTTTTGGTCCTATAAAGAGGTCTATTAAGACGCTTAGCAATTGGGAGCTTCCTATAAACCTGATTTTGTTGTAGTGTCTAACAAACAACTATAGAATAATCACTATAACAAAATCGGGTTTATAGGACGCCAATTTTTTTAAGTGTCCAATACACCGTTTTATAAACTTAAGTTATAAAACAAAAAAATAAAGTCTCGTAACTGAAGGCATTGTAATAAGTTTATAGGATGCTTTTGGATGTAACACCTCAAACTCCACATTTGCATATAACACATATTTCATATTAAAAAAATATAGTTTATACCACATAGGTCCACTAGTCCAAGGATTCAATATGTACAAAATTTACATATGAAAAATTCCAAAATAAAAATCCGTTCACTAATACATGTATAACATGTATCTTCGAAATACGCAATCATCAGGTTGATCTTCATAAGCAGATAACATATAAGGAAAATAATTACATTTCCCCCTTCCCCTTATTATCCCTTGACCCCACGGTTCCTGCAATGCATATTTTTGGAATGCAAAATGAGGGTTAGACCAGAAGGTCTAGTGAGAAAATCCCTTCTTTACAAATACAGGGTGATGAATATCAAAATCTGATAAAATATCTTTTTATGCAGAAATAAATGCATTTCAGCAAAAGAATGTAATCCAATTAGATGATCAAAATATATGACCAATAGATTGCTTCAACGCATAATCCAAATGCATTACTCTATAATCTAGAGTCAGTATGAAACTCTCATTCAACATGCCAGAGCTCTTCTGCCCTTACCAACCAGAGCTTCTGGTCCTACTGGCCAGAACCGTTGTATCTAAGTAATACAATATTTAACCAGAGATCTTCTGGACCAAATAGAGCCTCTGGTCCAAAAGGAACTTCCCTATTATTTTTAAAAGACGAATAAGCTAGAATCAGAGTTCCTTTGGTTCTTTGCTCTTTTATAAACATTTTTGAAAAAGATAAATTTTGAAAGACAGAACTCTGATACAGAGCTTAGATACATAGTTTGAGTACAGAGTTTAGACAAAATACAAAATAACTATTTTCAAGATACAGAGCTTCTGTATAATACTTACAGAGCCTCTGATTGATAAAATTCCCAAAATATTTAGTCTTTTCATGTGACCAGAGGTCCTTTGGTCCTTTTTTTAAAAGACCAAAAAGAGCCCCTCTGTATCATTCACATACATTTAAGTCTTAACATGCAAATGACAGTTTAAGTCTAGGCATCATGCTTTGAATATCTAAATCTCTTAAACTAAGGCTCTGATACCACTTCTATAACACTCCCAAACACCACATTTGCATATAACACATATTTCATTTCATGGAAATATAATTTACATCACAAGGTCCCACTAGTATAAGGATTCTTATATGTACAAAATCTACATATGAAAAATTCCAAAACAAAATCATGTTACTAACATATGTAATACAACATGTATCTTCAAAATAAGCAATCTTAAGCAGATCTTCAAAATAAGATAACAGGTTAGGAAAATAATCACATTTTCCCTTTCTCTTTAATATCCCTGGACCCCGCTATTCCTACATTGCATAATTTTAAAACAAAAAATTGAGGGTTAGACCAGAAGGGTCTAATGAGTAAATCCCTTCTTTGCAATTTGCAGGGTGATGAACACTGAAATATAATAAAGTAACTTTGCCCAGAAATATTTGCAATACAATCAAATAATGCAGTCCTCAATGACACGTATAAAAGGATAAATTCAAAAACCTCAGTTCTATTAATAAAATACATCTGCTTAAAGATCCAACGTTCCTAAATTGAAACAAATATTGTGACCAAAGTTTCTTTAATCACCAAACCATTCATTCGTAAATTTTTAAAGGAAAGTTTTTAAGGCAATACTTGTCCTTTATTAGAAACCATTTTCCCCTTCTCAATAACATATAAATTATTGTTTCTAATAGGAAATAATATCTCTAATTCATCAGGTCACAAATGATGATTCAAAGTTATTAAATTCAATTAGTAACAATAATAAGAGTAATAATATTATCCACATATGACAATGCCTCCCTTATTCCAAGTATACCTCTCCTTGATATGCCACCCTTATTCCTTCATTAAAACAGGGCTACTTATCAGAACAGACAAAAGTCACCACGTCTGGGGGAACTACCACTTAAAACAAGTTTCATACCAAAACAGACTTACGTCAACACGCTTGGTAGAAACAGTTTATAAAAATCCAATTCCATACCAAAACAGACTTACGTCACCACACTTGGTAGGAAGGTTTCCCAAAATATAGTTTTATACCAAAACAGACTTACGTCACCACGCTTGGTAGAAACATTTTCTCAAATCCAGTTCCATACCAAAACAGACTTACGTCATCACGCTTGGTAAGAACATATCTTTTTATTTAAAAAGATATAAAATACCCCTTTTATAAATCCATAATTAAACCCAATAATAGACATTTTTAAATCATATAAATGTCTAAATATTCAACATTTGAAAATTATCAAATATAAGTTACCCGGACAAGTTATCCGGATATACAATCTGGACAACACTGTCCCTTTTGTCCGATACACTAATCCGGACAACACTTGGTCGATTTAAGACTAAATCGCATGACCTTTAATCGATTTAAAACTAAATTGCATGACTCATTTCTGGTTTAAGGCAATCCGGACAGCACATGATCGAATTAAGGTTAAACCGCTCAATACATGATCGGTTTATAACTAATCCGCACGACCCTTAAGCGATTTAAGGCTAAATCGCACAATACTTGGTCGTATTCATACTTCTCCGTTCAAAAACCTTTGTCTGATCTATATAGTTAAAATCTCACTAACTCATTATATCCCACAACCCTTGAGCAATTTATAACTAAATCGGATAACACTTGTCCGGTTTAAAAACAATCCGGACGACACTATGTCCGGTTTAAGATAATCCGGTCACCCTTCAACCGGTTTAAACCCAAATTGCATAAAACTAAATTTCAAGAATTTAATACAATTCTTTCAAGATAAATAACCAAACTTTTGAAACAAATTTGTAGAAAATACTCATCTTTATGAAGATTTGAAGATAAAAAGAGATTTTGAATCCAAATCTTGATCATCCGGACAACTCCCCTCAATTGATCTCAATTTCCCCAAATAAGGCATGAAGAAGAAAAAACCTTCCTGATAACCCTTTCCCATGTATATATACTTTCCAAATGTGGAAAGTCGGCTAAACCAGCCAAACCTTCCATACATACATACATGCTTATTGATGCATACATATACGTATATACATAACACACACACACACACTCACATATATATATATATATATATATACACCCACATATTATGCATGTACCCCTATGCATAAAATACATATATTCACATATTAAATTTACGTAAGCATGTATGCACATAAACAATTAATTCACATAATAAATACATTGGGTAATAATCAGAACCTGGTTATCACATTATCCACCCCTTCAAAAGAATTCCGTCCCGGAATTCCTTTAATCAAAGAGCCATGGATAATCTGTTCTCATTTCTGATTCCAATTTCCAAGTTGCTTTTGGTCCTTCGTGAAACTTCTACTGTACTTTAACCAGACTGATTTCCTTGTTTCTCAACACCCTAATCTTTCGGTCAATCACGGCTTCTGGTGTTTCCACAAAGTTCAGTTTACTGTCCAGTTTGACCTTGGGCAATGGTACAGCGAGACTCGGATCAGCTAAACATTTCCGCAAATTCGATACATGAAAAGTGCTGTGAATCAGACTTAGTTCTTCTGGTAGTTCTAACTGGTACGCCACTGGCCCGATTCGTTTACAGATTCTGAACGGCCCAACATACCTTGGACTAAGCTTACCCTTCTTCCCAAATCTGATGACACCCTTCCATGGCAAAACTTTCAACATCACAAAATCACCTACACAAAATTCAATCGGCTTTCGACTATTATCAGCATAACTTTTCTGGCGATCTTTTGTTGTTCTGATTCTTTCACGGGTCTGTTCAATCTTGTCTGAAGTTTCTTGAACAATTTCAGGACCCGTCAACTGCCTTTCACCTACCTCGTTCCAACACAACGGCGTTCGACATTTACGTCCATACAATACTTCATATGGTGCCGCTTGGATGCTGGAATGGTAACTATTATTATACGCAAACTCTATCAATGGCAAATGATTTTCCCATGATCCCCTGAAGTCAACGATACAGCTTCTCAACATTTCTTCGAGAGTCTGGATAGTTCTTTCACTTTGCCCGTCAGTTTGCGGATGATAGGCTGTGCTTAACTGAATTTCAGACCCCAAAGCTTTCTGCAAACTCTCCCAAAACTTTGAGGTGAAACGGCTATCTCTATCAGAAACAATAGACACCGTGTCTGGTTACAATCTCTATAATATAAATCTGTGCCAGCTTTTCTAGAGAGTATCCCTCTCTTATTGGTAGAAAATGCGCAGATTTAGAGAAGCGATCAACAATTACCCAGATTGCGT